GTTGAGTGGAGACGCTAATATATGTGATTTAATCTACGGTTTTATCGATCTCGAGAGGGACGATAGGCTAATTTTGTGATCATCTTATAGGGTAGATAAAGAAAATAATTAGTTGTGATATATTTGAAGGAACCCAACTGTTAATTGAACCCATAATCTTAGAATCTACCATTCCCTTATATTCTTCTTAAATGTTTTTCTAGTTGTTTTTTTGTTATTGATTTCTTATCTTTTGAATTATTTTCTTAGTTTAGTTAATCAAACTCATATTCGGTCGTCTAAATAAAGTTGACACTATCATAATCTAGTATTTGCTATATTGATTATTTGGTCTCTTGGGTCGCTACTCATTTGTGGGAGGCGGCCATAGCCGAGTCGGGATTTGTGTGCGTGGGTGGTATGATCACGCCCATTGTTATGTATTGTGGAGTTGATTTGACGACGAAGGCCCCGGTGAGTGACACGCCATTGATCAATATGGCGGCATTGAAGGCGATGAATTTTGTCCGACAGAATGGTGGCCGTTATTTGTTTCTCCAGAGGGCTCAGGACCATTTTCCACTGCCGAATACTCAGTTCACCACGGTCGAAAGTGATGATGGCGTGGTGAATATCAAGATGTGGAGTGATGCACACTCGGCGGTGATTAATGAGGTGCAGACGGCATTTGGCCAGTCAGTTGGAGGCTCGAGTAGAAATGTGCGACCTCGCATAGAGTTGCACCCGAGCATCAAGGAGGAGCATGAGTACGAGCGCGGTGGCGACGTTCCTATGGACATTCCGGAGAGCTCCAATCAAGGAGCGGATCCTCCTTTGAGCTTGGATGATAGGATGATGCTTTTGGAGGCCGAGATGAGAGGCGTACGAGCAGACCAGAGGGAGATGATGGCGATGATTCGCCAGATGCACCAGTGGCACATGGACGAGGGCCATTTTGGCCCGCCGCCTCAGTGAGATTTTGTGAGTGTTTCTTGATCCTTTGCTATGAATTTCTATTCTCTCCTTGTGTTTCATTTAAGTTTGGGGGGAGTCATTTTAGAGAATTCAAGAAACACGTTATCTTGCATTTCATGTAGTTGCATGTTAGGTTTATTGCTTTAGCACGTTTATTGCTTTCTTAGGATTTGAGTAGTTTGTTGTGGTCGACTTTGATTCACCTCAATGAGTCTTTTGTGCATATTTGATATGGAATTCGGGCATAATGTTCTAGGTAATGGAATTTGATGATGAATTGAGTTGTGAATTTGAATGATTGGTTGATGTTTTTAATCCATGAATATATGATCCTTTGTGAGCTTTTGAGCCTTATATTTTGTTGATTGAGTGTCTCGTTCATTGTTAATGGAATTCTAGAACTTGCATTGGTATCTATGTCGAGA